GTGGTGGGCGGAGCTCACTAGGCCAAGACAGATTGATCAACACGGGCCCGTTTCCATAGTTACTATTACTTCCGGGTCATTTGCTGGCCTGACAACTTAAGTATTCATCGGTTGTTTTTGTTCCCCCCCCCCACCTCGTAGTGGATACCGCTCTCTGCCCCCCCCCCTGCCCCGTACTCTGTGGCCTATTTTTTGTCGGCAATAAATCAAGTTCATTTTTGTTTTGCTTGTCCGCACAAATGCACTTCACACACCCTTCTTAACACACTCCAGAAGAACAGATGCACTTCACACACCCTTCTTGAACACACTCCAGAAGAACAGACGGATTTTTGCGGACATTGTATCTGAAGGCCTTAATAACGACAAAAGACCACACAAAAAAGAAAAAAAAAAAACTATTGAAAAAAAAAATCGGACATAAATATCTGAAGTTAGCTTCTAAGGAGACCGTAAGTTATTTAAATTCAACATGGAAGAAGCCCTGACACTAAAGATGTTGTGTCTCCTAACACCACCTTCCCCAAATTCAGGCCACAAGATACAGATGTGGCTTCGACTTGTTTTTAGAACAACTGTATACAACAAGTTCAGTTTTTTTTTTAAAAATCAATAATTATATTGAAAAAATAAAACAGAAAAACACACCCAAAAAAATGTTAATAATTGTTTTACATTTGTGGCCGTGTGTGTGATCGGCGTGCCAAACAAGAGATCAGTTCCCCCGTGTTTGTGGATGCGTGTGTGATCGGCGTGCCAAACAAGAGATCAGTTCCCCCGTGTTTGTGGCCGTGTGTGTGATCGGCGTGCCAAACAAGAGATCAGTTCCCCCGTGTTTGTGGCCGTGTGTGTGATCGGCGTGCCAAACAAGAGATCAGTTCCCCCGTGTTTGTGGTTGTGTGTGTGATCGGCGTGCCAAACAAGAGATCAGTTCCCCCGTGTTTGTGGTTGTGTGTGTGATCGGCGTGCCAAACAAGAGATCAGTTCCCCCGTGTTTGTGGATGCGTGTGTGATCGGCGTGCCAAACAAGAGATCAGTTCCCC